GTCTCTGGATGTTTGAACTCCCCTGGCCCCTCCCCAGGGTGTGCGCATGTGACAATCAGCGTCGCCCACTCTCCCACATGTCCTGGAGAAGGTGATTTTGGCTTCTGCTGCAGGAGTTCTCACCCCCCATCTGCCCGTCTCCTGCCCAACAATTAATCCTGTTCCCCAGCCCCCATCAGTTCTGTTCCCATCCAACACCCCCATTCAGTCCCCCAGCCCCCATCATCACCACCCCATCAGTTCAGCACCCCTACCCCACCGCCAGGGCCGGCTTTAGGCCAATTCCACCAATTCCCCCGAATCGGGCCCCGCGCCTAAGAGGGCCCCGTGCCGAGTGGCAGGGCCGCCCAGAGTGGGGGGCAAGTGGCAGAGAATCCCTTCCCTGGCTAGAGGCGCCTTTTTAATTTTTACTCACCCTACGGCACTCTGTGTCTTTGGCGGCAGGTCCTTCAGTGCCACTGAAGACCCGTAGCGAGTGAAGGACCCGCCGCCAAAGACTAGGAGCACTGCCCAGTGAGTACAAGCCCCATATGGTTTTTTTATGTTTTTTTAAGTCAACCCTGCCAGGGCCCCGTCAAAACTATTTGAATCGGGCCCCGCACTTCCTAAAGCCGGCCCTGCCCACCGCCCTCAGTTCACCCTCCCAGCACTCACCCTATCTGCTCAGAACCCATCATCAATACAGCCCCCGCCCCCCAGCCCGTCACCCTCCCGCTCACTTCAGGCCCCCTGCAGCCCCCAGGCCATAATAAACCCCTCCCAGCCTCACCTCTGCTCCTCCTGGGGTTCTTCACCCTCCCTAGGCCTGGGGGCTACAGTGGGGTCCCCTCTCCCACTTCCCAGGCTGGCAGGGGAGCAGCCGCACTGGGGTGGTGACAGCGGGAGCCCCAGCCGCGCCCAGGGCAGCTGACAGGATTTCAGAGTAAAATGAAGCCTCATTTTTAGATTTCTCAAATGTCGGGATTTTTTTTCAGCCAAAGCTCTATGGTGAGATCATGAGTGAGGCTTAATTTTACTCAGAAATCGCATCTCTCATGATTAATTCGTGAGAGTTGGCATGTCTGCTAATAGGTGATGTCTACCTAACCCCTTTGGACATTTTGAACATTTTTTCTTTTGACTTATAAAGGAGAGAGAGGAAACAGAAATGTCTATTTTTGTATGTTGAATTTTCCCATTCTTCATTGTACCATTTGTGGATTTGCTAATAATAATAATATTGCCAGGGGTTGTGATGTATGTGCATAAAGAGTTCTGAGAATGAGGTGAGATGTTCCTCTCTGATTTTCCAAAAGGCTCATTTTTAAACTCAGATCTCTAGGGAGATCCACTGCTCGCCCCTCGCCCGCACCCAGCCCATCTGGTTACCCCAACCACTAGTTACAAATTCTAAATTCTAATAGAGAAAAGAATCGACTTTTCTGTTTTTAGGAAAGATCTGGGCAGCCACCAGTAATATGGTGTTCAGCTCCTGTCAAATGCAAAATTGAAACAAAACCTGAACTATGATCCTGCCAATGAGCCACCATAATTCATAGGAAAGTTTTCACTCCCCCTTTGATCCCAGAAATTTACCTTTGTCCCACTGAGGTTTAGACGACAGAGAGTCTAGAGGAAGAAATGGGTGAAAAAGATGAATTGTCATGTCATGTTGAGGAATATATTCACATTGTTAATGTTCTAACACAAAAGCAAAATGAAAAGAAAACAAACTTTACTACTACGTTATAGCTAAGGCGGTTAAGTGCAATTCAGACCAATACAAGCCATTACACACCTCACTAAAAAATAACCACAAACATTAAAAATTAAGAACATGACCTAAGGTTACATGACAGACCCAGAGATGTTTTACCAGCAATTACACACCTGTGGCTGGCCCATGACACTCGACTTGGGCTCGCAGGGCTTGGGCACTGGGGCTGTTTCATTGCGGGGTAGATGCTGGGGCTTGGGCAGAGGCCTGGGCTCTGGGATCCTGTGACAGGAGAGGGTCGCAGAGCCCAGGCTCCAGCCCAAGCCCGAACCTTGTGAGCAAGAGTCAGTGGACACAGGCCAGCCACGGGTGTTTAATTGCTGTGTAGAGAAACCCTCTGAAACCAACACATAATTCACAGACAGACCCACACACAGACACTTTTTCACTTATTAGCATTCAATCAACTTTAAATCTGCCCCTCTACTACTAGTACTTAGTAAAACTGGCTCATCCTTCCTGACAGACCTGGTGGTCTCGTTATCTCCAGCTCAGGAGGATAAAAGGTGGAGAATCTCTAAAGCAGGGGTGGGGAACCTACGGCCCGTGGGCCAGATCCGGCCTGTTGCTAAATTTCATCCGGCCCACAGCACCCACCCCACCCATCGACCACAGGTTTGGAGCCGCAAGTACTGAAGCCCTGAGCCTCTGTGCAGACCCGCGGGAACTAGGAGTGCAGAGGGTGCTGCAGCACCCCCCAGGTTTTGTGTGGGGTCCCAGCCACTGGCCCCACGCCCAGGGTCCTGGCTGCTTGCCAGACCCCCGCTTGGGCTCTGTCCCCCGCGGGTTCCCGTCTGCTGCCCCCACACCCAGGGCTCTGCTCCTGCCCCCAGCTATGGTCCCAGCCTGAGCCTCCTTACCCTGCCCCCAGAGCCATGGCCCAGTCTTGGCCCAGCTCTGGGGAGAGGGGGCACAGACAGGGGTAAGGGGGTGCCAGGTAAAAAGTTGGGAACCACTGGTTTTCAGCTCCCCCACTGTAAAAATTGTTCTAGTGCCACTGCATGGGGCTGGAGCCGCGAGCGCCGGCTCAGCCTGCTGTGGGGGGAAGACCCAAGCCTCCACGCCCCCTCTCTGTTCCCCCGCGCACGAGTGGCCCGGGATTGATTTTTTTCTGTGGGTCAATGGCCCGTGATAGGAAAAAGGTTCCCCAGCTCTGCTCTAAAGCAAGAGAGGGACTATGACACAGGAGGACTTGCAGACAAAAAATCCAAACAAACATACTTCAAAAACAGTGAATTCAGCAGGAAGCCCAAGCTCAGGTTAACGTTCATAGCGGCTACGAAAGGAAACCCCCAGGGAGTGCGAATGTAGGCCCCGAACCCAGTGTGTATGTGCTGTATTGAGAGCTGAGGAGGGAATTCATAGCTTCCAAATGATTAGTTGACTATCTCCATCCACAATCATTGTCCCTAAGAGATTTCCCCAGCTCTGTCAATTATCAGTGTAATATACGTGAGAAAATTCCCCAGGTGACTGTTTATTACCTTTGAATTTCTTCATTCTGGTCTCCAGAGATGCATTTATTTGAGAAGATTCCCAGATTCTCCGTTTCAGTTCAGAAGAAAAGGCCTCTGGCTTCTGAAACTTCTCCCTCTCGCATCTGAAGAACAACCCAGTGTTACTCGTTGTGGAGTTCGGTCATATTTGTGTTTTACTAACATGTGTTTTACTCTAGTGAATGGTTGTAGCTCAGCAGACCCTGGAGGATTAAAGTCTCTATTGCCCCAGGAATAGGTCCAATCCCAGCTTGGACACTACAAGCTTCCCCTTCATTTTGGTGAGACCGATATTGGAAAACTGCCTCCAGTTCTGGTGTCCCCAGTTCAAAATGGACGTTGAAAAAGTGGAGATTGTGCAGAGAAGACGCACAAAACTGATTTGGGGGCTGGTAAAAATGCCTCGCACTGAGAGAACTCTGGCACTTGAGTGTGGGGTATAAATACCTTCATGGGGAGAACAGACTTGGTACTAAAGGGCTCCTCAATTTAGCAAACAAAGGCATAACAAGGACCAATTGCTGGAAGCCGAAGCCAGAGAAATTCCAATGGGAAATCAGAAGATATTGTTAACAGTGCGGGTGGATTAACCATTGGAAGAAACTGCCCAGGGAAGTGGTGGATTCTCCGTTTCTGGACAGAGGCCACAGAACAGGGGGGCCGTGGCCCCATCACTTTTAAAAGTGGGAGAGCTCTGCTCTCTCCCTTTGTACCTGCCTTAAAGACAAGTGATGGGGAAAGGGGGCAGAGAGGAGCGAGGAGGGGCCGGGGTCTTGGTGAAAGGGACAGAGCAGGGGTGGGGCCATGGTTTGGACACCAGTGCCCCCCACACACACAAACTTCTAGGGAGCTTCAGGTGTTACTGTCTGTTGATGTCTTTAAATCTAGACTGACTGGCTTTCTGGAAGGTGCTTTAGACAACACATGTTAGGATTTAGTCAAATACAAGTTATAGGGGTGAATACATGAATAATGGGGTGAAATTTAAGGACCTGTGATACAGAGGCACAGACTCCGTGGGTGCTCCCAAAGGGGGGCTCTCTCATTCCTTGGTGGGACTCCCCAGACTCCACACATCAGATCAGCTTCCCCCTCTACCCCCCCAGTGCCTCCCGCCCGCTAGCTGGCCTTGCCTCCCAGCGCCTCCCACCCACTGGGGATCAGCTGTTCAGCAACGGCCAGGAGGCGCTGGGGGGTGGAGCAAGGGCGGGAAGAGGCTGGGCAGGGCGGGAAGAGGCGGGGCGGGGCCTTGGGGGAAGGGGATGAGTGGGGGCAGGGCCTGGGGCCAAGCAGGGGTCTAACACCCCCAGGGGAATGAGAAAGTCGGAGCCTGTGCTGTAATATACAGGAGATCAAATGTGATGATCTCATGGTCCTTTCTGGCCTTCAACTTTATGCATTTATGAAACTCAGTAATACCATGTGGCAATGAGTTCCACGGGTTAATAATGAATTGTGTAAAAATAAAAAAGTATTTCCTTTTCTCAGCTTTACACTAGTTGCCTTTCAGCCTAACTGAACGTCCCCTTGGTCTTGTATTGTGAGTGTGGGTAAGCAGGATCCCCTGACGTATATCCTGTACACCATTGACGGGAGATAATTAGGGACAATCCTTGTGGTGATGTAGATACTCATTGTACCAAGACCTGGTGTGAGACCCACTTACCCATTTCAAAGATAATTTATGTTCTTATCTAGCTGTTTGGATACATACAATGGTCAGTCCATTAGCACAGAGGTTCTCAGCTAACAAGGCCAGGATGTGTCCACTGCACACTGAGGGACGGCAAACGACTTAATGAACTTGCACTGCCCGAGCGAGCCTTGAGCAGTGTGAGTTGGTGCAGTTCTGGGGGGCAGGGCTGGAGCTGGGGGGAATTGGCTGATGCCTTTTATTGCTGGCTCATCAATGTCTGGGAGATGATTCATGTAACACAGCTGGGCGTGTCCCTGCCCGTAGGTGTCTGTGTCAGCGCAGGGCCTGTCAGGCTTGGAGCTTGACATCAGCATCACGGGGCAAGAGGCAGCCCAGGTTGGGGATTTGGAGGGCTCCCCAGTCCCACAGTCCAGGTTGCACCCTGGGAACCCGTCACACTGATGTAAATCTCCCTTGTTGCAAATTAAACCGATTACTTCTTGTTCTGCCCTCAGGGGACTTGAAGACCAACTGATCACTGCTCTCTGTAGAACAGCCTCAGACATATTTGAAGACTGTTATCAGGCCCTGCCTCAGTCTTCTCTTCTCTAGACTAAACACACCCATTTATTTTTACCGATCCTCCTAGCTCATCCATTCTAAACCTATGATCATTTTTGTTGCTCTCCTCTGAATTCTCTCCAATTTTTCACATCTTTCTTACAGTGCGGTGCCCAAAACTGGACACAGGATTCCAGCTGAGGCCTCACCGTGGCAAGAAGGGTGGAACAACGTCCTCCTGTGTCTTACATTCGACACTCCTGTTAATACATGTGTGGTGGGTGTTCACCCCACATCAACCCCCCAAAAAGAATGAAGGAAGCTGAGAAAGAGGAGATTAGGGAGACAGGCCACACATGAGGGGTTTAGGCCAGAGAAGTTGTCCCTGATTGGACGATGAAGCTCAGCTGAGCAGGTGGGGGCTGGACTAGGATAAAGCCAGGAAGCTGGTAACAGAAATTGGCTGCAGTGAGAAAGTCTGCAGCCCCCCCTGTGCATTGGAAAGGGAAGGAGGGAACCGAGGGAAAGAACAGCATGCTGGGAGCCTGGCCCTGGGGGAAGGGAGTACTTAGAATCACAGGGCTAGAAGGGACTGCCAGGGTCATCTAGTCTAACCCCTATAAGAGAGAAGGGTGGAGAAGAAAGCCTATGGGAGGTGAGTAGGAAGCAGCCCAGGGAGCGAGCAGACCTTGCCTGCATGTGGTAGGGTCCCTGGGCTGGACCCTGGAGCAGTGGGCGGGGTC